CGCAGCTTAAATAGACACTCCAAGCCTAAGACGTGTCATTTAGACTCTGTCTTATCGACAGACATGTTCTTCACCTGAGGACGGCTGCTTGCGTTGTGGCCGAAACGTCGTGAGAATAATTTTATTATGTTTTATTTTTATTATTGTATTACTTCCCTTCTACGTGACTTTACCGAAAGAACCAAGAAGATGTCTTCGATTATCAGTTAAATCAAACAAATTGTGAAAAAATGCTTCAAATTTGCCAAATCTTCTTAAAAATGATGCTTTGGCTCCACTTTTTTACGTCACACCGTGGACTATTTTTAATATCTATGTCTCAACTGCTGGTTCTATTGCCGTGTCAACTGGGAAGAGGCAACTTCGAACACTAAGACTCAAACACCTACCAACAGCCTGCAAGCATTGGCATTAAAATCGTGAGCCCGTGCTCAGTGTTGCGTATCTAGCTCATGCAACATGATATTTAGAGCTCAACATCTTACAGCTCAACATCTATACATTCACACGTGAAAACACACATTTAAAAGTGGAAAGTAAAAAGTAAGGCCAACTACAAATGAACGGCATTAATTTTTCATTCCACAATCGTATTATGGAATTGTATTATAGGGGCCAGTCCATTCCTGGCAAAGAGTACCGACTTGGACTCATTTGGGGTGCGTATATTGCCATCATTAGCTCTTGAAGATCACACGGTCAGAAATTCCCCAATCGAAGCCAAAGTTTTTGACGTGTTACACACTGCATTATGTAAGCATTTGAGCTTCGCTGTTATTGAGACATTTATGTTGGTAATTATACGAAAACTCATGAAACATTCCGAATGTATGCCCTTCATGAAGGATATTGAAAATGGATAGGATTTTGAGAAGTCGAACCACCGAAGCTTTGTAAAAGATATGATGATTCATGCTGCTGAATCAGTATAAATCATCATATTGACCTCATTTGTACGCATGGTGACTTTATTTATTTGCCATGTCGAGTGTAAGAGAGTTTACGACAAACATTTTAACTTACGCGATCTGACCCAAAAAATGTATTACAAGTCACCATTGAAGCAGTTTATGAAGTTTAGCATTTGATCAGCATTTGAGGAGATTGATAGGGCACCGTGGTAGTGAGATGTTAACGACCTCGCCTGATACACATGAGGTCGTGGGTTCGATCCCGACCCTGACACCTGTACATTTGAAGTTTGCATGTGGATTTTCTCCAGGTCCTCCGGTTTTCCCCTCCCACAGTTTAGAAACGTACGTTCGGTGTTTGGCTGCTGTAAATATCCACACGATAATCCACTTCGTTGAACTATCATTTGTGGCCAGGTTGCTTCTGGAAAAGAGCTATATAGCTCAGTGGGCCTGACCTGGTAAAATAAAATAAAATAGTTAAGTAGAAATAGACAGCTGGGCAGTAGTGGCGTACGTGGCTGCCTGTAATCCAGCACTGTGGAGGCAGCGAGGGTTGGTGGATTACACAAATTACAATGGGCGTCGAGGTGCAATACCCTTGCTAGCCAGCAAAATACAGTACAGCAAAGTGTGGACTGATATAATCTGTCCCTTCTATATGGGATAGAGCGTTGCCCCTATGCACGAGTGTTTTTTTTTCGGGTGCTCCGGTTTCCTCCGACGTGTATGAACACTCACTAATTAACTGAAAACATCTTAATATATATAGAACTGCAGAACAATTGTTGGTGCTGGCTCGCCACCGCCAAGCAGCTTTCGAGGTTGGTCTGTGGTGAGATGCAGTTTTCATGAACTACACTTGATAAAATTAATCATGAGGTTATCAAGAAATATTTACCTCATTAAATGAAAATCATTATGCTGACATGTAATGTGAACTAAATTAACACGAGGTAATGAAACTCGTTTAACTGAGAGCCATAATAAATCCGTTTAATATCTCAAACCAATATAGGAAACAATTTGCTAGATTTTACATTCAAACGCTAATTGACTCTGCAAACGGATGCTTTCTACCATCGAACAAATTCATTCTCTTCTTCTATCAAAACGGGTACATAACTCGAGGGCAGTGATGCAGTCAAAGCACGTAGTGTTGTCATCATCATCATCACAACTATTCGCAAAGTTATCCAAGTGTGTCAGGACAAGGTAGCCTATGTCTAAACAAAAACACAATTTTTTTTTATTTACCAGCTAAGGCCCACTGAGTTATTAGCTCTTTTTCAGAAGCGACCTGGCTATCACAAATGATAGCTCAACAAAGTGGCTATTGTGTAAATGTAAAGCAGCCAAATGCTGCAAACGCATGTTGATGCTAAATGTGGAGGGAAAAACCGGAGGACCAGGGGGAAAATCCATGCGACCACGGGGAGAACATGCAAACTCCAAATATACAGCAGCAGGCGTCAGGGTCGGGATTGAACCCACGAACTCCTGTATACCAGGCGAGGTTGTTAACATCTCCGAGCCACCGTGGCACCCCACATATCGCAAGATAAGCTCAATACGGGGTAGTTTCATAGATCAATGGGGAAGCTGCTATTAGCACATACACAATAACAGAAATTGGAATGTAAAATATTTTCATGCTAAAATATGAGAAAAATAAATAAATTGCGCTTTGTAACCCATGAACCATATTCCCCAAAAAAATGAAATCCAAAACGCATCACTGTGACACGTGTTGTTGGGCAATAATTAGCTTTAACTTACAAGGAACTGCAATCAGCTTTCCGTAACCAGGTCCAGAGTGATGCGGTGCTATTAAATTCGTTGTCAGCGTAAAATCATATTTCCCAAAAATGTAAAACAAAACCGAAGGTGCAAAAAAAACGCGTTAGCAGTTTTTTTTAATTAATTAATTTATAGACCCGACCAATACACACCGAGATCATGCTGCACAGGCTACAGCCAACGCGTGGTGCCAGTATTTGAGCTTAAGTTATTATAAGAAATTGTATCATAAACGTAATGTAATTAGATTATTTTACTTTGGTAATGACAAATATTTGATTGTTACAGGAAATAGTCTTTGAACCTATCTACGTGACTTTACCGAAAGAACCTATCTAAAGAACAAATAACCTATCTAAAGAACCTATCTACGTGACTTTACCGAAAGAACCTATCTAAAGAACAAAGAATCTATCTAAAGAACCTATCGACGTGACTTTACCGAAAGACCCAAGAATATGAATTCCTGCAGTCACGAAATCTTTAAGTCAGGAAATAGCAACTTTTCTCCTACAATTACTTACCACCCACCCAACAGGACTAATATAAGCAGAACTTAATTTTGTCTCGACACATAAAAAAAAACAATAATGAGTCCACCAGGCCAACATAATCAAGCATTATTTGTTTAAGCACGCAAACTTTGGACTGCTTTCAAGTTTCTGGGTCTCATCAGCAGTATAGGGATTACCAAATGGTATTGACCAGCGTGTGTTTATTTAACCAGGTAGACACCCGCTGAGAACCGTTCACCATTATTTGTAGCCTAACTTGTTGAAGGGGAATTGAGTAAAAGATAATAAGAATAGCAAACAAAATCATACTTTTTGTATATTTAAAACGTGCTGCAGATTATAACCCATCGTGTATTAACAGCCGTGAAGATGAACAGATGTTGTTAATAGCAAATATAAACAGAAACCGTAAAAAAAATGTCCATGTTTGATAGCCCGTGGTCAATAAGCTTCTTCTGTAAAAAAAAAATTCCATGAGGGCCCAGCTGTAAGTTAGGATTTTTAATGAATATTTTAAAAACACTGTTTGCAGATAGTGGGACACCCAAATCATTTGGGGCTTGGCACCATATCAATCTCGGGTGCATCTCATGTCTGATTAATGTGCCACCTATTCCCAATGCTGCGAATAACTTTCCTTTAAATGAATAATTCACAGGCTGCTGCTGTATTTTTTTTTATCAATAATGTATCCAAACAAGGTCCGGGATAACCAAACGCTCACGTGCAAGTCTCATGCTCCCCGTTTTGTTATTAATGTAAAAAAAACATTCTGGAACCAGAGTGCCAAACAGCAGATGCCAATTAAGCCGGACAGCTTAAAATCGACAGTTCAATCGCAGCTGTCGTCCAGTAAATTCAGCAAGGCGTTATCAAAGGAGCCAAAATTATATAACAACTGTGCAGAGTAGGGGTTGGGCAGTGGTGCAGCAGTTCACACTTTTCATCTATGAACTTGGCAACTCGAGCTAAATGGTTGATCACGGCTAACATCAGTGGCAAGTGATATTTGAATCGGTCCTGTGCCCCCCACCCCTACCCCCTTCACCAACCTCCACTGGCCAGCGCGATAAAGTATAGTCAAATAAGCCCCATGGCCTACACAGCAGGGCGAGGCCTTTCAGGCGGCAGTGGATTACCAAAGGGTTGGCAATAATTCGTTACGTTTACCGTATGGCGACACGGTGTTGGCTATAACTTGACCGGCACAACCTCGCCCCGAACAATGAGGTGCTGCCGTGCGAGTGGGTGAAGTGGAGTTTAACACGTAGGCGTTCGCGACCAGTATTACTCATAATAAATTAATATGGGTGAAGTGGAGTTTGAGGTTTGTTGGGGTAGGAGTGGGAGTGTGGAGGAGCTCTCAGGTGTACTGCAAGTGCATCATCGCTGAGTGTATCAGAACTCTGATCCTCAATCAATGTTACCCAGGGGGTAGGGGCCTTCTGTGACTCATCCTCTTATCCGCATCTCACTGATTGTATTAACCACAAATCTGAGGATAAAATAAACAACGTAGAAAAAGAAGAATTGGAAAATCCTCAAATTACCTGTTTTGTTAATGGACAGGAGGAGTTGAGTGGCAATGTCATCCCGTAACCACGGGGTTTCTGTGCGAAACAGGACTTGGGGGTTTACGGTCGATTCGGATGGTAACGTGGCAGGTAAGAGGAGTCTTGCTTATCCCAAGTGAGATCCCTTGCTTCCTCACGGATAGGAGCAGTTTCACTGTTGGTGTGAGTGGGGGTGGGCGGGGGGGGGGGGGGCTCCGCACTTTATTGCCTCGCACATGTCGATTCCCATCTTCACGCAGTTCTTGGCGTGGGATGGCAGAGAAATGGGCAGGCCCGACACGCAGTAGTAGCAGTCGCCCAGGATCTTGATCCGCATGCAGTCGTTATCCTGCGTGGCAACGGCAGCGCCAGCGTTACACAGGGAACTGTACGAGACAATTATACTCAAGTGTTTCGATTTCAATGTTAAAAATAACTTGTCTCAGCATCTCCCTCTTGCAGTCTGTTTGGATTCGGAAAAAACGACAACACCCTTTTTTCCATTGGCACGTCTATGCCAAGCCAGCGTGGAGCTCCTCACTGTATGGATAATTTTCTGCCGGCTATTTTCCGTGCCGAGCCAGATCCAAATTTGCGAAACGTTGAACTCGTGAAATATCGGAATCTGGCGTGGAACCAAGCCGGCCAGGAGCGTGGCCTACTGTGTGTTAATAGCGAGCAGCGTTAATCGTACACTGAGGACACCACTTCACCGCACCATCTACGTGGGTCTCAACTCGATTATTGCACATTAAATTAGCGGCCCAGCTCGGCTTCTGTAGTGGAAAAAAACACAATGTTGTGCCTACGGAGCTGCAACTGGTTGTCTCGGTTATACCAGTGGTGTTCGAACTCGGGCAACTATCTGTGATCAATCAGCTTCTCCAGTATCGCTGGTTGATGTTCTCACACTAGTCAACCGATGAATGCATGCAAAAAACGACCCATCGTATAAATTTAGTTTTGTACATTTATTTTTGCTCAGATCAGCTATTCAAATTGAAAGCCGCCTTTCACAGGACCGTCAACGAGTGTTGGGTAAGACACACTAAAGTGACTCCAGAAGTAATTCACTAGCGTTATTCCCAGGTCGTTTCCTGACGTTTCACGATGTTCTACTGACTGACACGATCCCAGCAGAATATTTTATGTCCCATGTGTCCTCTTAAAATTCGATTCCTGGCCACGGCTGACATTGGTGATGAGTGATGTCCAAACCAGTCCCTAGGAACCCTCCTTCACCAAGCAGCATTGACCAGCGTGGTGAAGTGTGCTGAAACAAACCCAACGACTGACTGAGTCATAACTATTTTTTTTAGGTCAGATCGCGTGACTAAGAATGTGCATCATAAACCCTCCTCCACCCGACATCCGACACAAGGATGAGAGGCACTGGCACCGGTCACCTGCACGCACGCACGCTCACCTTGGCGATCTGGTCAAACTTGCCGAACAGCTGGTTCAGGGTGTGGACAAGCTCCGCAGGGGAGCAGTCGCTGGCCAGCCGCGTGAACCCCACGATGTCGGCGTAGAGGATGCTGCGCACAAAAAAGACAAAGACCCCCCATCTATCCTTAACAGACTGGTTGGGGCAAGTGCTGTTAGCGAGTTGCACCTATGAAGGCCGGCACGGCACACGAGGGGGTGTGTGGCCAGCACCATGCCCGGCTGCGTTTGTCTCCCGAGTGGTGATGTACACACACCGCACCAAGTACTCATTTGAGGCTGAGTCGACCTAAGCGGTGGGCGGCAGGACCGGTTCAGATAAGCCGGGTTGGTAGTGCAGCGCGCTAAACCGTGATGCCACTTCTAACCGCCACACACACACAGACGACACCACAAAAAGATCCCCTATTCACGTTAACCCTTACGGATTGCGAAGGCGAGCGCTGTTAGCGAGCACCTACCAAAGCAGGTAAGGCAAACGAGGAAAGGCGGCGAGGTCAGAATCGCGCCCCAGACGGATTTTGTCTGCGCGGGGCCGACGTTGAGCGTACTGCATCGGGTACCCACGTGAGCTACGTCAACTTAGAAGAGGACCAAAGCGGCTTCAAGATACAACCTGACGCTGACGTGTGTTGGCCAAGAATCGAACCCAGGCAGCTGCAATTAGACTGGAATGTGAAGAAGAAAACCCACCGGATCATTGCTCCGCACACACATACACTATTTACAGAAGCGCACTTGGATATGCCTTTTGATCTATACATTGATTTCTGCTAATGAATGATTAGAAGACATAAACACAAACACACACAGACAGAGTACATAGCATATGGATCACACTTTGTTAATGCTACTGAAACATTTATCGCAACCCAAACATGTCATTAATAGGTGATGAAAAAGCAATAATTACAACTAACAGCAAGCTAAAAATAAGCAGGCTCACGCCTCGAAAAAATAAATCCGCTAATTGGTGCAACTCTCCAGATATACAGCCTTAAAAATATAAATAGCCATAGGGCAACATTAATGAGCTTCTCACACTTTGCACGTACTCGACATTAATATATTTTCAGCCGGATATTTACGGAGTGTCACCAATTATCCCAGAAAGCTCATGGGATAACTTAAGAGCTCCAGCTTCGTGCCAAACCAGCTTCGGCTACGCTTGACTTTTGCCAGCAATTGTAAACTCATTACCGTACTATAAAGTTATTCCATCGTGTGACCAGAACGCTGCTCGGTGTTATAAGTTAAGTTGATAAACCGTCGACCGGGCAGTGTTTAAGTGTTTAAGTGTTTCGTAGTTCAGATCCCAATACCATATCAGTGAAGTTTTGACAGTAATGTCAAAACGGTATTGGCACATGTGTTGCTGTAACAATTGATATAATTAAAAATGTACGTAACAGATGGCTAGGTTCAGAAAGAGCATAATCATATTTGAGAGGATTTAGCGACGCCGCTAATAGCTTGGGTTCAGATCAAGGCTTTAAGCACTCGCAATTAAACCAAGGTCTCAATTGTGAAAAAATATGAATTCTCCTCCGTTATTTCGATAAACATGGGGTTGACAAATTAAGGATGATTATTCACATTCATTAAGCGCTAAAATGCAAGGTTTATACGAATTAGGCATATTTCCAGATGAGAATGTTGGTTTCATTGCTATGCGACAAATGCTTTTGTCAGGTTACGTAACGGATATGCCACCTAATGTGGCATAAGGCACCTATTGAAGCGACTTCAGAAATGTGTTTGACATCAACTTCTCCAGCGGCAAATCCCTGACAGGATGTGTGCTTACGCTTCTCCCGGCGAGAGTTATGTTGAGTATTTTCACCTCAAGACATGATGACGGTACAAGTGAACATTAATGGTTGATTGCAAAACATTTGTTTGATTTAAATTCTAACGTTAGAATGCAACATATTTGGAGGGGTGTGAAATCCATAATTTATATAACGTTGAAGGCGCGGAAATGCTAACTACTTATGACAATGTGGGAAAAAGCAATTAATACATTATGCTCTCAAGCATTTTCCCATGTCTGTCAAAATACAGAATTTACCCTGGAATCAAAGGGACTTCTTCATCATGTAAGTTTCAATCGAGTTATATTAATTCATAAAGGACTACGTACACACAGAGACAGACTCGCTACACACCGAGTCGGAGTGTGGCCAGCACCAGACCTGACCACGTCTGTCCCCCCAGTGCTGATATTGACACCCACCACAACACTCGTTACTAATTTTAGATTGCGTCAGTCGATGCGCACGCACACTACACACAAGCGCATGAGACATCGGCCACGAGCCTCAGAGATTATTATGGCGAGCGCTGTTATTGAGCCTCTGTTTGCGATCACCCACACTGCAAAAGTAAACGGGCACCCACGGAGCGTTTAACAAACCCTTGGGGCAACGCATTGACTAACGCCTGAAGAGTACACTGAAGGGTGGATGACGTTGTATCCCCAGTGCTGTTCTTTACACACCGCACCAGACACTCATTTGAGGTTGAATCAACCTGGCGGAGGCCCACGACCGGTTCAGATATTCGTCACTGGTTTTGGCCGTGAGCGGGAATCGAACTCGGGTGGCTGGGTTCGTAGTGCACGAGAATCACGACACAGATTGCCCGTATAGCCTGTAACAGACTGTTGGGGTAAGTGCTGTTAGCGAGCACCTATGAAGGCCGGCACGGCACACGAGGTGGTGGGTGGCCACCGCCGCTCCTGGCTGCCTTTGTCTCCCTAGTGGCGATGTTTACACTCTGCACAAGGTACTCATTTGAGTCTGAGTCCACCTATGGAAGGCCCAGGACCGTTTCAGTAAATCATCACTGGCGTTGGTTGCGAGCAGGAATCGAACTCATGTCGCCAGGTTAGTAGGGCATAGTGCTATCCACTACGCTGCCGCTCCGCACGCAAATCGCTACACCATCACACAGACACACGTGAACGTGTCTTTCTGTTAAACACCTGCTCTGATTTAAGAAAAAAACCGTGTGAAAATGGGATTCATTGGTACGGTGTTTACTCCCCGAATAAATACCAAAACCTCTACCCAAACAGCAAGGAGCCCAATCTGTTCAGTGCTGAAATGAGGCAGAACATGGGCGCTACTGGCTGCTGTGTGGATCATCTCACGAGAGGCCCCAGGGGCACTGCGACACCAGGGCAACGCGGACAGGGCATCGTCGTCATCCATCTCTGTTATATTTTCATCCTCATTATCCATGGCTGCACTTCGCCAGACCTTGGCTGGCAGGAACGATGGCGTCCTTCTGTTCACAGGACACTTTACCAGATTGCAACAAAAATCATAAGGAGCTTTTTGAAACAGAAGGGTGACATTGAAAATGAAACCACCGTGGTTTTGGACCTTACGAGAGGGCAAGATGACCCCCCCCCCCCCAGATTTTATCAGAGATGCTCTCAAAACTATTCAAAACACATTGTAAGTGCTTTCGCCGGCTTAACAAAAGGTGACGAACTATCAAGGTAGGTTAGCCTCTTCAACACTGCGCACCCCCCCCCCCCCCCCAAAATAGGCAGCCATTATCGTCCTCATTGTTTCCATCCTCCAAAAGAAAAAACGGCCTCTCCAAAAAGCGTGAAATGGTGCTGTCACAAATTACGAGGGCAATTTCCTGCCACTTTGCTTTCACCTCTAGCTCCCCTAAGCTCCTAATTACTGGTCCTCTCAAAAGACAAGGCATTGCAGCAGAAGGCTCCTCATTGTCTCTTCAAATCACAGACTCCAGGTTGCCCCTTTCAGTCGGAGCTCACTTTGTTAATGGCACCGGTTTTCGCCTGCAAAAATGCACCCGCACTGTGCTTTGTTTAATTTCCTCCCGAACAAAATGCATTCACACTGAACGATGTTTACAATCAGTCACAAGATGTCCGCTGTGGTTGTTGTTCTTTGAAGAACCCAAGGGTTCTCACAAGAGGAATGTGGAATTTTGAATCCTGGATCAGCATTGATTTAAAGATCTCCCTGAGCCAGGGAGACACGATGATTTGATGTTGACTCGATAAAGGTTTCAGTATTCTTTTAAAGGTTAGTTTATTTTGATGTACCCTGTAAGCTAAGAAGCTCTTGTATCGGGTTTCATCAACAAAATCATCGTTTCCCTGTAAAACAAAACAAACATAGCAGGTCGCAATAAAATGAAAAGAAATACATAATGAAGGAAAAATGGCAACAAATCACATAATGTAGAGTATCTTCCAACATTTTCTTTTAAATATTTGACTAAAGTGAGGATTATGATAAAAGATCATATTGCAAATACCGCATAAAAATGCAAATGGTAAAATAGTTTCCTCGAGAAACATCAAATTTCAAGTTAGAGTAATAATTACAACAGTCACGATATTGCACCGAATAAAATAATACAGCGTCAATATATAACTTGGTCACTTACAGGAAAATCTCAATCGGAGAATTTGAGCTAAACCTTAAAATACCCAGCCAGGTTCTTAAACGTGGACATTTGATGTCCCCAGCATACCAAATTGTCCAACAGTCACCGATGTACACGCAATGCGCAGGGGTCACACACACAAGGTTTTATTCACGTTATGCGGCTTTGGTTTGTGTGATTTCATATATATGCGGCGAGCCTATTTTTACCCAAAATGCACTGGCATGCAGCGCTACTCGGCAGGCAGCTTACGTGTGCGGTGCATTGTCGGTCGGGTGATTGTGTGCATTGGTGGTCTTTGTGTGCGGGCTAGTGTTCCAGACAGGAGCACAGCACCGTTCAGTTTACATATTTGACATGTGTAATTGTTATCTTTTCATACGAGTGCTGTAGTCACCTTAAATCCATGCTGTTTTTGTCACTTAATTTGACTGTGAACGGTTTTTTAAAGTAATTTGTCCAAGTCAACTTTTATTATTGAAAAATGATTTTATTTAATAATAACTTATGTTCTGGATTTTTTTTTCTCTCCTGTCTTGCGGTTGTTTTTGCTCTGATTTCTATTCGCTTTTGTCATTTTGGCGACCCAGGTGATTCTTGTAAGTGAGACTTGTCTCCTGGTTAAACAAAATAAACTTGAAACTAGCAAGCAGAATGGACACAGCTCAGTGCTGCTGCTCCTGCACAGAACCTGTTGCCCTCAGCACCCCAGGTTGTGACTACAAGTCTCTATTTAGGGATAAATTGGCTCTGGGGATTTTTTCACCTTCTTTACGTGATCATGAAAAAAAATCAGGCTTCAGTCCAGCATAGAGATGCTTCAGTTTGAGTGGCTGTCCTATTAAGCTGACATTGAGCATTTCCCTTAAATGCCGATTGTTTCAACAGACGGCGCCCGCCACTCTTTTCTTCGAACTCGCGTGGTGTCGCCAGCAGAGAAAGTTCTCCACCACCCACTTGAGATCCACAGCGAGAAGCTTTTTCTGTTTAGTTTATTGTCCTCCCCCCCCACATACCTCCGATTAGCACGGTTGGCTGCGTACGGTGCAAAAGATGTTCAACGTGCATGCATATGAAACATTCAGTCAACTAAATGTGAGTACATATTTGTGTCAGAGGCAGTCAATGTTTCGCCACCCAATATTATTAGGTCAGCCAATCGGCGAACGCAGGAAGCATTTATACATGGAAGCAAATTTACATTTTTGCTCACCCCTCACTTACTGCTGCCCCTAAATAGCGTTATTCAGTAATCTTGGCCTTCATTCAGACTCGTTGATTTTGTCTCATCATTCACGCTTTGGTCTTTGGTGGGTAGTAGTAGGAGCCGTTGTAGTCGTTGTAATTCTCATGCTTAATAAGGGTGCCACGGTCGATAGAAGTTAACCACCTTACTTGGGATATAGGGCATGGGTTCGATCCCTACCCTGACACCTATATATTTCTATATTTCGAGTTTGCATGTTCTCCCTGTGATCGCGTGGATTTTTATTTGGATTCTTTGGTTTCTCCCGCCACAATTCGAAACGTGCGTTTAGAGTATTTGGCTGCTATACATTTCCACATGATAAGCCACTTCGTTGAGCTATAATTTTTTGCCAGGTCGCTTCTGAAAAAGAGCTGTGTAGCTCAGTGGGCCTCACCTGGTCAAATAATTTTTTGTTATTTTTGTTTATTTTCATAAACTCACAGTCGTCATTGACTAAACTTTCTCAACGAATATTTTCGCCGCTGTTTTTACGAATTAAAGGTGTTCTGCCAGAAAACACGCGCACCACCACAAGGAGGCCAATAGTGGCTTTGCATCTGATCACCCACGTGAAACTTCAGCAGGAGCTGACGCCTTTGCTTGGATGTGACAGTTTCATGATTAATGAGCGCTGTGCCTCTTGTTTGCTTCCTTTGGACACAACTTGTTGACTAAAATGGTTCTCAAGGAATGATTCTTCATGTCATGACACGACTCCGATAACAACACGGTTGGAATATAATTGGCAATGTGATAAAAATGACAACTTTCAAATAGTAGCGGTCATTTTTACTTCAGACATCGCCCATCTTGTGCTCAGGGTTTGGCCGCGCGATATTGACCGAAGTCTCCCGCAGCAGCCAATTTTCGGTGCACTACGGCAAAATCATCGCCATCCATCTCCGTCCAAACTCGCCCGGCGCACGCCTTAACCCTAAACTATGTGCTGCAATGTCAATTAACTGGCAGGCATTTGTTTCGGCTGCTCTGCACCATCTTTAAATATTTGATAAATTATCTGTGATGCCCGTCCCTCTATTCCTGCCCAATTCCAAATTAGAAAACTTTCCTGCTCTCCATTTGTCCATTTTACTTTTTTCACTTTGTGTTTTCATAAAAAAAAGTCCATAGCAAGGCATCGCCCTGCTCGAATGAGCATTGGTTGGTGGTTCGTGGTCTTAAGCCAGGAGTGGAAATTCTACGTTCTTATGGCAGGGGATAATATAACTAAAGGATAACCACTATTCGGTAATCTTAAAGTGGTGCTCACTGTTGTGAACCCTGTAGTGATGATGGATTGAGTTGTTCCCCAACGATGATTTAAACTCAGGAGTTGTGTGCCACAGGAACACTGAGACATGATAATATTTCAACTGTATGGCCTCTTCTGTTTGCTGACACCCATACGTGTTGTATTTCCTTCATTACTTCTCATTTTATTCTTCACATCCCGTTTCACATTATCATTTTAATATTTCATGAACAAAAAAAAGTCTCAGCAGTGCTTTATTCACTGTTTTAAATGCGTAATGGTTACAAGGCACATCTCAGCCTGACCTGACCATGCGTCCAGGATACAATGTCCTAACGAGAAACATTACTCAATATTCACTCCAAGTTGCACAGTGATTCTTGGTAAATGCACAAAAACGATGTAACATCTACAGTAGTAACAAGACACTTCGCATAAAACCATTAATATATTTCACTGCATGGTTTTACGCATTCAGAGTGCAACGTATATACTGTTTGTAGAACTTATTTCGTACCGTACGTAGCCAAATGAACACATACAACCAGTAAGGTATATTTATGTGGCACACGTATCATAGATGGAAATGTTTCAGGCCAGAAATAAACGTGTCATTTTTTTTCACACGTGACTACTTAAATATCATAGTAAAGATCAAGAAGTCATCATGGCCATTGACGTTTATACCCCGAAATCTTGCCATCACTTTTTGACTCGTGCCAGACCTTATGACTGTTGCACAATCAACACCCCGAGCCTCAGGGTCTGCTTGCAAAGTACCCTGCCATCTTCCCCTTGACTGTTGACCTCTGAGTGCCGTTCCAATGCCTCTTGTGGAGACCCCGCACTCCTCCACCGAGCACACGCGCCCTGCCCTGCATAACCTCCTCTTCTTGGTAGCGTTCGCAACAATTCACCGCCACAATCTATTCTGACTCCAAAGTTGTTAACCCTATCTGCTAAGAAATTTCTAGAATTCTGCGCCGAAACCTATGCTAAGAAACACAGTGAGTCAAAATCTGTGACCTCAATATAGACATTATTGCTGCCTCAAGCGCCCATCTCTTGGCACTAAAGTTAATATCTGTCTGTTTCTAAAGTTATTGATATTGGTCCTTCAGACAATCCATCCTGTTAACACAAGCACTGTAGTAATTCAAGTGCCTCCATGTTCAACCAAGCAATGCTGCAAAAGGAATCTCCACACAAGGACCTGAACTAGTGGTGGAAATTCCATATTATCATCGTGGAGGCTAATCTCTATATAGTATGACCACTGCTGAGGTTCTTTCGGTAAAGTCACGTCGATAGAAAGAAAAAAAAGTGAAAAAAACCCACTAATGCAGACTGTCGCTTGGTTATTAAGTTTGGTGAGTGTACTGTCAGTCTACAATGTAGACTGTAGAATGGTTATTAAGTTTGGCGAGTGTACTGGCAGTCTATAACGTAGACTGTGGCCTGGTTATTTAGTTAGGTGAGTGTACTGACAGTCTATAATGTAGACTGTCGCCTGGTTATTAAGTTTGGCGAGTGTACTGACAGTCTATAATGTAGACTGTCGCCTGGTTATTTAGTAAGGTGAGTGTACTGGCAGTCTATAATGTAGACTGTCGCCTGGTTATTAAGTTTGGTGAGTGTACTGGCAGTCTATAATGTAGACTGTAGCCTGGTTATTAAGTTTGGTGAGTGTACTGGCAGTCTAGAATGTAGACTGTCGCCTGGTTATTAAGTTTGGTGAGTGTACTGGCAGTCTATAATGTAGACTGTCGCCTGGTTATTAAGTTTGGTGAGTGTACTGGCAGTCTATAATGTAGACTGTAGCCTGGTTATTAAGTTTGGTTGAGTGTACTGGCAGTCTAAAATGTAGACTGCTACCTTGCTTGGTACACAGGAGGTCGTGGATACGATCCTGACCTTGACGCCTGTATATTTGGAGTGTGCGTGTCCTCCCCGTGGTCGCGTGGATTTCCCCCCGGGTCCTCCGGTCTTTTCCATCCACATTTAGAATGCGTTTAGAGCATTTGGCTTCTATACATTTGCACGTGAGAAATCACTTCGTTTGAGCAATAATTTGTGATAGCCAAGTCGTTTCTGAAAAAGAGTTGTAAAGCTCAGTGGGCCTTAACTGGTAAAATTTCAAAAAGTTCGTAATAGTTTGATTGGCTCCACTGGGATGGGTCACCAAGTCAACCTCTCGCCAAGATTGAACATGAAAATGCCCCACCGTAAGTCGAGCGATACAACTCAACTGCCACCGGAGTAGATTTTGATGATTATAAATTAATCGACAGCCAAAGCTCCATTTAGCATATAAGCTTTCCACAGCCACTATGGAGTCAACTCCGGAAGCTGCCTGCGGCAGTGCATGGCGATTGCTTGGGAGAATAAACGCTCAACGGAGAACCGCGCGCTGAAGACAACGGTCTCCGTTTCACACCGATATCTAAAACAACAAAATCGCATTTAAATCCATCGGCCCATGGGTCTTTTTCGAGCAATCTATATTTTAAAGCAGATAATTAGCCAGCCCAGACGTGCGTCATGCCCACCTCACCGACATTGTGCCTCAACGTAATCATGACGATGACTTAAAAATCGTAGTCCTTAATGAATTAATTTAACTCTAATGAAGCTTACATGATGACGCTAAAAATCTCTTTGATTTCAGGGTAAATTCTGTCTTTTGACAGACCATGGGAAAATGCCTGAGAATATAACGTACAAATTATATTCCAAAATTGTCATAATCAGTTAGCGTTCCCGCACCTCCGATAAGCACAGTTGGGCTACGTGCGGTGCGAAAAAAGTTAATCATACATAGACGCGTACGTACAACGCCAGCCACGAGGTGCCGAGCTACCCACCCCACCACCCACCTGACACTCTTGTGCCGCCGCACGTAGAGGTTGTGGAAGTTGTTGGAGTTCTCGGGCAGCAGCTGCTGCTGTTGCTGCCCGCAGAAGGGGCCCTTGAGGCGTTGGATAATCTCTGCCTTCATCTCCAGAGCGATGTGCGCCGGCAGCACGGACAGCAGCAGCCGCTCCTGTGTGTGTGTGTGTGCAGCGATAGTTCAATGCTAACGATGTGCCGTTTCATCGGGTGACTTTGTGTTGTGCATGTGTGTACGTTGACATTCTTTCGCGCCGTACGTAGCCAACCGTGCTAATCGGAGGTGCGGGGTGAAGGAGAACTAACTAAACACGAACAACAGTTCTGAAGAAATCAGTGTCAATCTATAAGCGCATAGCTCCAGTGGTTTCCTAATATCTATCTATCGGAAGGAAGAGCGTTCCAGATGGACCCTGAAGCGCATCTGAAAACGCCAACAGTTATTGCCGCTATCTTGGCGTGGTCTGGGACTGTTTTGTTGCAGCTTTTGCTGCCTTGTCCAAGCTTAGTAAATCGGACTTAAATAATTAGTGGTATTTATTTATATTTAGTGACTTGCATACCTTTTTCTCGATTTTGCACTGCTATCGTTGTTTCTGTATTGCTTGTAACCTGCTGACTGAGCCGCCCATACTGACATCTCTGAAAAGAGCTTTATAGCTCATCGGATTCCTCCAGTATACAGATTCTGATTCTGGGGGGGGGGGGGGGGGTTCAAGCGTTCCGAGCACTCCACTTGAGCTGGATCCACACCGGAGGCATCGGTTGTGCAACTCGGTTGCATGCAACTGAATCACCTGTATTTGGGAATCTCTGCAACCGGTTGCTTATTGTTGCTTACACTTGCCTGCTCTACTTTCAAGTGATGATCAGGCATGGTGGCTACCTTTTTAAAGGTGGCTACCTTTACAACAAAGACCAAAAACCCCCTTTAACAGACTGTTGGGGAAAGTGCTGTTAGTGAGCACCTATGGAAGTCGGCATGGCACACGAGGCAGTGGGTGGCCAACACCACAGCACCAGTTACTCATTTAAGGTTGAGTCGACCGAGGGGAGGTCTAGGACCAGTTCAAATATTCGCCACTGTTATTGGTCATGAGCGGTAATCGAACTTGGGTCGCTGAGTTTGTACCGCAGTGCGCTAGCCACTTCATGACCCCCCCCCCCTCCACACACAGTCCAGCGGTCACGTCCAAGCGTCTCCCTGCTCAAGCGAGTGAGGGGCGGCGCTCATATTCATTGCAGGCCTTGGGTCAGTCGTGGAAATTACATATTCCCAGGGCAGAGCCTAGTCCATCCACAAGATGACCACTGCTGACGTAAACAGTATTGTACCACTCTTCTCGTCGATGTAGCAATGACTGGCTGGTGAACCCTGACAAGCGATTGAAGTTTGAACCTTCCGCTTTTTTCCATCGACATAACCAAGCAGATTAAACTATCGTCCATTAGGGCTGAGATACAATGAGTCATTAATACTTAAATACACATGTATTTTTTTATTTGCGTTCCCAATAATCCTATATTGGTATCCCCATGTTTCAAACATCACCCTTATTACGTCTCTCAACATCGAATTGCCAGTTACATTAATGCTCCTACGCCCCCATAGCACTCTGACACTACCCCCGGACATCTGTGTCATTCACTCCCCTGGCCCTGTTCAAGTCCAGGCCTGTACAAGAAATAAGTAATATTAAAAAAAAAACTGTTTTAAAAACACGCTTTAATGAAATGTACCGTACTAGTAATGGAAGAACTCCACGACTCCAGGAAGTGGTCCTGAGGCTTGCCATAACGTAAGGGACCGTGGTGATTTACAGCCAACGTCAGTTGAGCGTGGACAATTAGACCCAAGCCGAAACATAACTTCTAAAAAAGAATGATTAAAAATAAATGTTAATTGTTTTATGATAGAATATAGTATTGTCATCAGTATGACACAAGTATACCAAGTTTGCAGTCGATATCGCATTGGGAAGTGGGTTAAAATAGAGTTACAATATTTGAGGATACAACAACAGAGTTAATAAAAAGCGTGTAAAATGCCTCCTTCCTCCAGAATGCCAATGCTCCACTGTTAAGTACGGCCATATAACGTATATTTGAGATGCCATATGACTTCAAATTGTGTTGCATTACAGTGACATCATCTGAAGCTAGTACGTCATCCTCCTATCCCATGACCCCAACAGAGTCTAACGACCCTGTCAGGAACGAGACTGTCAGTCTATCGTATGAAGACTCCGGCAGCAACTTATTAATACATTTATAATAAAGAAATAAATTCCTCTGGTTTTTTTTTTTCAGGAAAACCCCGTAAGTGAGCTGCATCATTGCACAGGGCAGTAACTTGAAGAATAAAGTCACTAAGGTGAGCAGAAGTTATTCATGCTTGATGAAACACACAGTAGGGATGTTATGTAAAAACATTCGTTTGAATGAGCATGGTGCTAAATCTCATTATAATAGTTCCAAAGAGCAATGACCATGGAAAATGTGGTCATATGAGTGATGAGATAGTTCATTATCGGGGCATATGCATTTAAACATGTTTAATGCAGAACACACATGGATATAATTTACATGATCGTTGCTTGGCCTGGTCATTTGTTATCTCGATGTCGTTGATGTATGCTTTCAGTATATATTTGTGGGTTCTTGGTGACATTTCCATTGAAACCAGAAATAAAAATAAAATGAGAAATGGGCTGGTACCGATGTCCCCTGGTGGTTAGAGCCAAATAAAGTTATTCCATATTCCCATGGCAGGGACAAGTCTCTCCACTTGACTACCAATGTGGACATAAAATTTTAAAATAAATTTGTATCAATCATAGAGCTCTAATTGATAAACTGTTTAAACAACAACTTGTTGAATAAGACATACTGTATTCAAATACGGATCGATTTCAACAACATGTGTTGATATTTATGTTTTACAGGCATTAATTTAATGATTTCTGAAGCCACTAAAATGACAACGCACACACACACATACAACACCAAATGAGCCTTGGCACGATGCAGGTTCGTGACGCGCGTGCGATGAAATGACCTTACATTGATGCGGCCACAAGATGTCTTGTTGAAATGGTGAGGCCACGGGGGTTTTAATGAGGCACAAATGTACGCGCGCCGCCAATACCTGTAAACGACATGCCAGGGACCGGACGCGGCACGTAGCGGGAAACTAATTCGGTGTCAAGGGCCAGAATAAAAATTAATACATCGATGTAGCCACCTGCTCTGCTGCTGCCAGGGCTATTGTGCCCTCTGTGACAGAAACGGTTTTCATCAAAATGGTCCGGAAAAAAAAGAAAAAATTGGAAAGCGAATTTGTCAGCGATTATTGTACGCAATTCTGCGAGATGTACACACGGTCAATGCGTGTTTACCAAAGTGACGTACTATTCAAGTACCAAAACAGTAACAGCTATCTATAGGTAAAAATTATTTGATATTTGCATTCATGACTGTACTGCAGAATACATACTTATAGATATATATACCCAGCCATGTAATGCATTGTTTAGAGTGCTCAACTCACAATGGGAAGGTTATAGGTTAAATTCCTAGTCAGGGGTTGACTCAACCGAGCATGCATCTGGAGGACAGGGCATTGGTGTTACTCCAGAGGATCCACAACGCCTCCGTGAGACGCATCCGCAGCACGTCACTCCGATCCTCGCATCCCTCCCACTGGCTCCCAATCCAGTCCCACATCAACTACAAGATCGCTCACGGTCAGCGTGGACTCCACCTCACCCACCGCGCTCCTCCCTTCTCACTCTACTCCATTCACATGCTCTACACCCCAGCAACCAAGGCTTTCTGTCAGTCTGCCTCTGAAGCCCCCCTCCCAAATCATCCGTGTTGTTGACTCCCCGCCCCAGGTCAAGTCCAGGATAAAGTCCTTGTTCTTCCACTCTGCTTGTAAATTACTATCTCTTATATAAAAAAACACGTATGTAGAGTATAGAGGAAGACCAAAGATGCGCTGCATTGTTATTAGCGAACAACAAAACGCACGGCAAGGAAACCGTGAAGCTAGCACAAGACAGGGCGAGCAATCTCATTCGACAGAAGAGAGCTCAAGGCGAAGCGCCGAGAGTATATTTCCACATTTTCTTTTGGCCATGATACACACCTCTCACTTTTGTAGGATATAAAGATGCCGTGTTATTTAAATTATTTATTCAATCAAACTTGAATTCCACCCCCCCCCCCCCCATCTCTAATTCCTACGGTATGAAATAATGCAACATACACACATACATACGGAATTGCATTCTATAATACTTGATGTGAAGTCAACAATAGTTGTCCTATTCAAATATACATGTGAATATTCCATCACTGGCTCAGGACCACGAATGCATATTATCAATGCTCGTTTAAGCTTGGAGATACTTTGATTTAACTACGTATCGCCGATTTTTTTTTTTTACAGTTATTTGACACCCCTAAACCATATAATTGTATTGCATGCTGAAATGTAACCCGTATCTATATGCTACACAGCATTATATTGTACCGTATGTTCATTTTAATTGTTGGGTCTATAATACAAAGCATAATTTGAGCCTTCACATCACTGATTTCAAGGCCAAGTCTCAGCTGACTCGACAGCGCTTTTTGTTGAAGCAGCGCTGACAAAAAACAAAACGTGGGTTTGTTCTCCAGTTTGACGACGACTAAGCACACACGTGCTTGACAATTCAACGTATTGCTACGGTTGCACGTGAACAGTTCATGTACTCCTCTTTGGACGACGAACAGAAATCTCAGAATGCGATGGGATATTCCACAATCGATGCTTGGAACAAACGCTCACTTATCAATGAGCAGGTCACGAATGCACGAGGGGGTCATCAAATGGTCAGTGGCGTCACGCGGACAGGCAGTGACTGAAAGTAATAACCGGTGTTATTCTAACGCGCAGTTCGCCTGACGAGTAACACACCTCCATCGATGTTTCGATTCGCACGGTTGGCTTGCGTACGGTGCGAAAGAAGTTCAACATACATAGGCTGTGTAAAAGGGGGGGGGGCGGCGGGGGGGGGGGGGTTAGATTTCACGGGTGATCGGGGGGAGGGGGTCACGTGTCGAGCGTTCGCGAGTGTGAAGAGACACAGTGATAAACGGTGGACA